ATAAGGGGCAAAAAGTTGGGTTATTTTACAAATTGCTGGGGGGAAAGGGGGGGGGGGGGGAGAAAAAATAATAATAGAGTTGGATTAAGTTATTAATGAGGCTGTACAACTTTTGGAGTTTCCGCTTAAAGTTGTGAAATAAGAATAGCTAAGAGGGGTTCTCTAATGCACCCGATGAACCTAAAGAAAACTTAACTTTCCCCCACCTTTACCCCGCTCCCACGGAGCCGCAAAAGATATTCTTCCAACTCCGCATTTTGGGCAAGCTCCAGTCAAATAATAATAATGATGACAATAATAATAATAATAATAATAATAATAATAATAATAATAAAAAGGATGACCCAAATAGATGTTGACTGGTACTTTTTTACAGTGTAATCGTGGTTGCAACATCTGTAGCCCACTCTGCAGCACAAGAGGAATTACACGCACCGGGCAGCAGCACGTGTTTTTACGCACAAGATTAAGGAACACAGACAGGCGCTTTTTGGCGGGTTTTACTTGGCCAATAATTCTGAAACGCAGTGCACCGCAGGTTAGAGAGGACAACTTCAATTTTACACTCTCAGTGGAAACAAAGAAGTAGTGTGGCAAGTAGTTATGTGGCCATGATGAATTTCGTTCATAAAAACGTTTCCAGGCTGCAAAACAAGCAATGTCGGGAATAAATAATGTAATTCTGTGTTGTTTTTTAAATTAACTTTTCCTCCTGTTGTACCCACAGCGCTCCAGATCTACAAGAGGAGCCCAGGCGGTCTGAGCCCCTTCAATGGATCTAGCCGGAGACACAGGCGCTGCTGTTTTTACACCTTCCCCTTCCGGCGCCGCTGTTCCGCTGCAGGACCCCGCTCTCTGAAACATGGATTCCCGTGAGCATCTCCCACCCAACTCCCTACAACATTATGGTAAAAGTGCACACCGAGAGTCCTCTCTGTAGCGGCACCCGCCCATCCGTTCCCGTGGAAACCAGCCGTCCCGAGCAACAAACTTCTTCACCTCTGTCTCTCTCTCTCTCGTTTCTCCCCCGGGGGGACGTCAGTGTTTGTCAGGCGACGCTGAGTGAAAGCTGCATATCCCACCTGTCTCCTTTCACCTGAGGGATCCCAATCAAAAGCTAAAAGAGGCGAGTCCTTTTTTAAAAAAATAAAGTCGCAAGGTGGTCAAGGATGCTCAAGTTCTCCCTGTGATCACCCCTCCATGCGCTTTACCTCTCCTCTGAGCCGTGTGGCCCCCTCACCCTGTGCCGGACCCTGCTCCATACGCCACTCCCCAGGCCTGCCATGCTCCTCCGGGCTGCGTTGTTGCTGTCGCTGCTGCTGCTGCTGCTGCACTGTTTGGCCTCCGCCGTCGGCCAGTACAACATGTGCAAGTCCCTGGTGAGCACGGACGAGGGCTCGGTGTGGGAACATTACGCATGCCAGCCCAGTCCCGCGTCCATGAAGGACTACATGCGGATCAAGGTGGATCCTCCTGGAATCACGTGTGGAAATCCACCCGAGAGGTTCTGCACTCTGGTAGGTTGAGTCGTGCACCTGTGATTTTATCATTTGTTTCCTCAGTGTATCAATAAGTAAAGAGTGCCCTCAGACGTGCCAAACTTTGTGGTTAGTGACAGAGTGTGACGTTTTAGAGCTGGGAAACTTTTATTCAAGGTTGTGCCAGACAGGATTGAGACAATGTGAAGCTTGAGGGTGACACAAAGGATGAAAAGCAAGAAGTCAGAGCAAGACTGACACTTAAGTGTTTGACCTTGAAAAGACATTGACGTTTTTGCCACCTAACATGAACTTCATGACCTAGAGTCAAACTCACATTTAGACTCATAGAAAGAGCCCCAAAGTCTTCCGGATCAAATGCAGACATCAGGACCTTTCACTTCCAAGGACACTACAGGATGAGCTGAGGGGGGGAAAAAAAGAAAACTCGTTAAAATGTCTGCTAAAGCCTGCAGGCCAGTCCTGGCTAATGAAGGTATAATAGTTTGAAATAAAGGTAATAAAATCTCAATCATAAGGCTGCAATTAGGTTTCTCTTCCTTTCTGTGCTCAATGAGAAGTTTTCTATCTGAGCTTTGACTCACGTCTTGACTCATTGTGTGTGAGAGACAAGATTTTTTTTTTTCCTCGACAATCGACCCGCTGTCACTGAACGTCCACTCACTGGCGATGACCGCCGCAGAAGGCGCCAGACTTGTCTCCACGGCCGTGACTCAAAATCTCACAAACAGTGTTAGAACCGGTGTGTAGGACTGTCTATATCATGTTATATAATAATGCAATTCTGTTAACCATCTTTTTTTTTTTTTTTTTTTTTTTTTTTTCTAAGTTAGAAGATATTTGCTACTTTGGGAGAATTTGCACCTCCTTCTGGCACAGGCTGATAATTAACACGTGAAGTGGTTTAAACAGGATAACGCGGTATCTCGGATACCTAACGGTTAATGACTTGTTTTAGCAGCGGAAGCCGCCGTTGTTTTTGAGTGAAACCTCTCCGCTGAAGAGATTAGATGGACCTGAGTGAGGCAAGAGGTGAAGTGATGCCTGCTGCCATAACGTATTGACGTCTGCCCCCTAATGGCCTGGGCCTGGAAACTTCTATAACTATGTTTCTGAGTGAGCGATGATGAAATATTGATGCAGTCCTTAATGGGCTTCCTTACAAGGGGTTGGCTGGCGACGCTTCAATCCCAAGGATCCTGAGTGTGCTGCACAGCTGATGAGACAGAAAGAAAGAAGGGTGATGGAGGGCGGGACAGGAAGGAGTCTGGGCTTAGTCAGCACTTTCTTGTGGGATGGGATGGGAGCTGTACGGCGGAAAGTTCTGGTTCCCGTAAGGTCATTTGTGGTTGTGGGGATTGAAACGGGTCCCAGACTGCTCTGATTAGGGGGGTTTTAGAGAGTAACGTTTACGTGAGAAATGAGAGACGTCAGCTTAATATTCCAAAATGCACTGACTACTTTTCTCAGAGAGGCTATTTTTTTCTGAAGCGTATAACCGTCCACTGAGCATGTGAGGCTTCCTTTGCCTCAAGTCTTCTGCAGCGAGACAAGTGTTCGTTCCCTGACTGCTTCCATTAGAGACACCAAATTGGCATTGGCGATCATTTATTAATATGCACTAGGCGTGGACGATTATCAATAACGACATGCTGAATATTCGAAAAGCTTTAAAACTCCTAACTTTTCCTATCACGCTATTGCTACTGATTGTAGACATTTCATTTCAGTGCCCCTGAAAAGTGGCGGAGTGACCAGCATCACCGTCACCTGTGCAGGGCACAGAATAATGCAGCAAGCCCCCTTCCCCCACCTGTTGCTAGGCACTGCTGGTTGAAAGAAGACTACTACACTTTTAATTTGGTCACAGAAAAGAATGAATGAATTCAAATGTGGAATATTTCTTAATGTGGCAAACAGGGACAATCATTTTAAAACTATGGCAGAGTGTTTGTTCTCCTTTTGTGTTCTGCAAAAAATTAACATTTACACCAAACTCTACATTATATTATAATAAATGTAACACTTAGTATGTTCGGTTTTTTTCTTTTTTTGCAACCTTTGGAAGTACTGATAGCAATGTGTATTAGAATTTCATCAAATTATGATTTTAGTGCTTGAACTAAAACATGCTCCATCGTGCAGTTCTCCGGCTATGTTACTGCACACTGCTGGTCAGCTTGCTGAGCAAGAGTTCTACACTTTTACACTAGTAATAGAGACAACATTCCCATCCTTGTGATATTTGTGCCACTCAATAAGGAGCAGAAAAGGAGAATGGTATTATTTTCTGTCATTGTGAGAGGTTCTGTTTAGTCCATTTAACAGAATATGCTTACAATAACTATTCACTTCCTGTTTTAACCCTTGTATGTCGAAATGGGGTCCAACCAACCCCACACACGTAAAACTTGTATCATTTTCCATGGTCCTCTACGTTTACCTCAGTCCTCGCACGCACAAGGGTTAAATTAAAACAAAAAAAAAATACATTTTTACTTTGCTGTTTCGTAGAAGAACCTCAAAACTGTGGCATTTGCCTAATGCGCACATTGTGATTTTTTTAGGGAAGCGTCTTTTTTCCCCCTCCTCTTTGCCATGCATAGTTTTAGCAGCTACACAGAAAAGTCAGTATCATATCTAATTGGTTTACTTTTTCAGTCACTCATTCAGCAACACCACAAATCAAGAGTAAAATTCTTCTCACTTGGCAATGTATATATTTATATATATATATATAAAAGTCTTCATATCTCAACGCGCCGAGTCGTTCATCTATAAAAAGACTTGAGATAAGCTGCGGAAGATGCAAAGTACTTTTTCCCCTCCGTCTCTCACCCTACAGAACGAGTGTTACTACACACTCTGGGAGAATTCACTTTTTTTTTTAAAGCATAGTGGTTTCCATTGCTTCCATCACTTTACAGTAAGTTTTGCTTCTTCCTTCTCTATAGGGATCTATTTTTTTCCCCCTACTCCATTCATCTAACTCGTTTCTTGGGAATGCGGTATCGTGTCTGCACAGCCAACGCGGCCAGCATCATGTTGGCTTCTTTCAGCGTGACACGCTTCCAGCACTTTGAAAAAGATGCTACTGTCACCAGTGCTGCATGAGGAGCTTCAGTAGTTTTTTTTTTTCTGTGTGTGTGTGTAGTTTCATTGTATAATCTACTATAGGGCTTGTAGGGAGTGATGGAGCAAAGATATGCAAGGCAAGAATGCTGCAGATAGGCAGCTAATGATGAGAAAGAGGTGGGCCAGATCAAAGCTGAAGCATAAAGACGAAACCCTTCTACTGTCCCGCAGAGGCACTCACAGCGCCTGTCTCAAAAATGCTGCATTTAGAAGGGTTTGGCTTTTGTTTGTTGCTGTGTTTTCTTTTTTGGAGGGGGGGGGGAGGTTTGAAACCAAACCTTCAATCAGCCATCTCCCTTGGGTGGAGAACAGAGAGCAGTCGAATGCTAATGGGAATGTGCATGTGTGTCGGAATGTGGCCTTAACAGGGACCGGTCGGGGTTTGAGAAACATGTGGACGAGTTGGCTGAGAGTGTGTGTTAGCATGTCTAAGGAAGACACAAAAACAACAACAACAACAAAAAAGCACACACACATATACACATGTACACCTTGCTGTTCCACAACACATTTGCCCATTTTAGAAGCTAGAAATCAGCCAGCTCTAAAAATAGACATGAGAGGAGAGAGGAGCCGCGCAGCAGCGGAAGGGGAGCATGCAGGAAGGGGAGAAAGATGGCAGCTGGTAGTGTGGATCAGTGCATCTCAGACTGGGCCTGTGGCCATAATTCAGGCTCACTGCCTGGTGTAGCCTTGCCAGACCCGGATGGCCTGCCCTGCCCAGCAGTGGCCCATCAAGGCCACACGAGAGGAAGGGCTGGGGAGGGGGCATCTAAATCCAGCAGTGGGCCAAATCTCGATGAACCTCCTTGGTGTAAGCGATGGTCCAGGTGGCAGGTGTCCTGATAAAACTCGGCTGGGGGTGAACTCGGGTACAGCAGGAGCTGGTCTCACGCTGCAAGGCATACAGTAATTGGCGAAGGGAACAGATAGTCGAGGAGAGCAGGCAGCGAGAGCGAACGTACAAACAACGGACATGGGGGAGGGTGCAGTGATGTAATGGTGTGGCTCGCTTTCCCATTAGGACACAGTTGAAAGTGATCCGAGAGCGTTTAGATGTGTTGGCAGAACGGGAGGATAGTTTTAAGTGAGATTTATTCTTCACTGAGGTGATTCTAAGAGGGATTGGCTGCAGGCGCTTAAACAGCCTGAGGTGGACTTAGTAAACCACCTTATCAACCAACCAGGATCTCTGGACAGATACCTGTTTGAAGAGGAGGAAACGTATGTAGGAGCTACGAAACAATCTGAGCATGATTACAAGTGTGAGGGATTCGGTGACACAGACTGTCAACGCAAAGCTTTTTTTTTTTTTGAGCAGTCTGACATATTTCTGCTCCAGATGTCATAGCTGTAGATACTTAGCAAATAAATGCAAGATTTCTTTTAAAAATACTTGCTTCCAACCCCCCCCCCCCCCCAAAAAAAAAACCTTTGTTGCAACTTTTTGATTTGAAGTGTTAAAAAACCTTTGAAGGCTCTCATTCTTTGTTCTACTTGAGA